AAAAAGATAAAAAAAAAAATTGACCAAATATTTAATGTTTTTAATGAAAATAATTTATTTATATTTTCAGTCAGTTATTAAGTTAATATATATATATGTACATAATAATAAATAGTAATTTAATAATAAAAACGGGTTAGTCCAAACAAAATTATTAGTGTACAAGAACAATTGTAGATTGTATAAAATCATTTTGACCAATCAACGAGTTGCGATTTTATCAAAACGTGATAACGGTAATAATGATTACTGGTAAAACCGCAAAATATTCATTGGTATAAGCGTATTATTGTAGTACGCGTTTATGCATACGAATAAATCTTTAAAATAAAATCTAGTAAATGCAGCCAACGAGGGGGGGGGGGGGGCATGGCCACTGTGCCCCCCCCCCCGGATACGCCACTGATATCGATCCACGTGGACGAGAAAAACTCTGGACGATTTCAATGCCTGCGCGACGGCCGCGTCGATAACCTCCTGGACGCCGTGCGATACGTGTTTGGCACCGGACGCCGGGCCGTGTAACGGGGCGAGAGCGCGTCCGCTCTCTCTCACTCTCTCTCTCTCTCTCTCTCTCTCTCTCGGCTGGGTTTAAAAATAATTTATAACGCTCTTGAAGGCACGTTGTCATCTCTCGGCGCTGTCGGTCGGTTGTTTTTTTGGCAGTCCCGCGCACCCGTTGCCGCCGTCGTCACGCGCGCGAACCCGGCGACGGTATTCCACGTATTTCACTCCGAGTACGGGTGCAGTTTCTCGTTTCGCTGCGCGCGCGTTATTTATTTTTTTCCCGTTAAAATCGCCTAGTTTTTTTTTTTTTTTTTTCCCGTTACCACTTTTTCGTCTATCCGTTCCTCGCGGGCGCCCCCGACGGGCCAAAACGTCTCGGCGATTCGAAACGATGATAGTGCCGTTGGCGATAGAGCAGGAGACGTGAACGCGATGTCGTGTTACTGCCCGAACTGGACCGAGAGCCCGCTGGAGGTGCCCGTCAACCTCAACCACCAGTCGGACCTGCTTAAGGCAAGAGGCGATCGTAGTTGCTATAACGCGTTCGTTTACGCGATCAACGACGTCGCGAGGGGACCGGACGGATTTCTTTTACGGTTCGTCGGCGGCGCGCCTACCGGAACTTTTGACGCCTCCCGACGGGAATCGCGTCGAAATCGACCGGCGGCGCGCGCGTCGAAACCCGCGGACGTGGTGGCGCGAACGTGTCTTTCGGCCGCGTCCCATTCGTTTCGACGCGACCGGAACGCGAAACGGTATTTTTAGTACCGCGCGGCACAACGCCTTACAAAATTATGTTCGTCCGACATCGCTCGAACACGATGTAACGGTGTCGTAATATTCGTCTTGTCCCGGCGGCGTCGCTGTAAAACCACTCTCGTCGACTGTAATATTTTCGTATCGCGAATATTAACCGTGCCTATGACTACCCGGGCGTTTCCGTACGGTTAACGTTTTTCGAAGACGGTAAAAAAGCGTTCCGTTTTTATTCACGGTTTGATTACGGTTTCGCTGTAATCAGGTCGTGGGTTTAAAAATAAACCTAAACATTTCGTAGACTTAATGACCGCTAATACGCGACAATATTAAGATTAGAATTGCTATTTCGGGAGTACGTTCTACGGGTCATCGTGTGCTTGTTCACATTATGCCTACTTGAAAATGTCAAACAACGTTGTTTTGATGGAACGCAATAATGTCACATAATGTTTTTTAGCAGCTTCTCAATGCCCTCGTTGGCTATTAAGTATTTCTCGGTTTAACGATTACGATGATAACATAGGTACGAATATAATCCATAGTTTTAACGAACTGACTACCTTTGATATGTATTTACATGATAAAATCTTAATCGAAAACTTTGTCGATTACAGTTAATAACATAATCACAAGTTATTGCGTTGAGCTACAACTAAAATATATTATGTAAATCAGTGTAATCATAATATAACATTTATCTTACAAAATAGTTCGGTTTTTTTATTAGTGATCCGAAAAAAAGTTTTAACTTTCATTTATCCGAAATTATTTCCTGTCGTAGACTTGTTCAGCAGAAATCACTACGGTTAACATTTTCAGACAAAAACTAAACAAATATCGTTAATAAAACGAATATAAGTATTATAAATAAATTTAGTATTTGATGCATTCTATTTTGAAATATCGGTTTTCGTCACTGTTTAGTACTATAATGCATATAACATTTTTTGTGACTTTCCGCTACTTTTTATTTTGTTACGTAAAAATTAAAACTTGTGAAAAATCTTGTATTTATTTTCTAGTATTAAAATTAATAGTTTTCTTTCTCTCTCTCTCTTTGCAGTATTCAATCTAATGATTGGTATACAGAAATGTACGTGTTTCTGTATCACTAGCCTTCCTCTTCAACTTTTGATATGAATTACATCTCTGATCTTTTATTATTTGATTTATGTATTGCGATAGTTTTATGAATTTAAAATACAAAAATTATGTAGAATTTCATGATTTTTTATCGTGTTTTGTCTTAATTTAATTTAAAATACTTATAATAAAGTCGTGCCAATGTATTTTCAAAATTTTAACATTGGAGTAAGAGCAATTTATGAGAATTCTTATATAATATTCTCAAACATTACAACTAAGAATATAAAATTAAATGAAACTATATATAATATAACTCATTAAAAATTAAAAAAAGTCCAACATTTCAAGTATTTATAAAAGGCATAAAAAATTCAAAATACATTTAAAATTATACTATCTCCAGAGCAGCGTTTCTCAAACTAGGAGTCCTTTTGATAAAGTCATATCGGTTAGATTTAATAAAACGCATATGTATGTTAAAATATATATATATATATATATATATACCTAATTAGAAAAATTAAGAAGCATAAAGCAACAATTAATGAGGTACTTATTTAAAATTGTTTTATATTTTATTAAAAGTTTATATTTATTCGCAGTTCAACATTTCAAACATAAATTGGTAAATTATTTTATAGACATAAGACAAAATATTTTCGTATACTAATTATTTGTTTCGTTAATGATTAAGGATTAAAGTATATTTTTTACTGGTAAAATAAATAGTGAAATTCAAATGAGTTCTTATTACGACATTGATGGAAGGAACTTTATATATAAATAACCTAGATCCTAAAATAATTGAAAGGCTGTAGTCAATTTGCACCAAAATTGACCCAAAATATATACAACATGTGTAATTTGCGCCAAAATGTTTGAAATACGATTGTAATTTGCCCCAAGATAAGGATATAATTTACAACACCCACACGTAGTAAGAAATAGGAATTGTAATTTGCACCAAAATTAAAATCTATTATTTTTTCGATAGTATTTCGATAGTACCAACGTACAAGTTTCTATACATCGAGATATAAGTACCTAATAATACAGAATTGTAAGTTTTAGATTCTGAGCCATTATTTAAGTTACTTCAGTATTGACCTTATAGCTACCTTATAAGAATAGTCAATAAATCATGATAATAGTTTAATAATTTCATTATTTTAGGCAAAAAACATAATTTTAAAACACATAATGCTTCTAAATTATTTGTATACAATATAGATTTCGATAAACAATATTTATAATCCTAATAAAACTTTAATTTAGCTTTTATTTATAAAATAGCTGAGCTTATACACAGATTGTTTTAGGTTTATATAAAATATTATTATGAATATAAAAAAAAGTTAGTCAATTTAAAAAAATTATATGTAAAATTTATAAAAATAAATGTATGTTGCATTTAACTTACCAGATTTTTTTGAAAGCATTTTATGTACCATGGTTAAATGAAAATGGGATAATCTGAAAATAATAATTTTTAATTTACATAAAATAAACTTAGGTAGATATTTATTACCATGAAACGAGAAGGCTAAACGGATAGCTTATTATTTAATCAAAATAATAAACTGGTATATGGTATATTATATAAATATATATATAACGCGAATACGACCGATAATTGAACGTCAAACGTCAAAATATTACAACCAGACGAATCTAAAACTCGTAAATACACGACGGCCGCGTCGCAAAACCCACAAAGAGAACATTGTACACCTCGATGTGTACCTACATATCGAGGTATGCTTACGTGTTGCAAATTGGGCAAGTCACTTACAAATTTGTTCCACAAATCGGCGATTTCAGGCGGAAGCTGCTCGTCCCACGATAAACCAGCGTGCCACACGCGTTGCAACAGTTGCTTCGCGAAAAATATAACGGGCGATAACAGCCCGAGTGGGTCGAACATGCGGGCGACACAAGATAACATACCACGCTTCGTGTTCATTATCGGTGACGGGTGGAATGTGTATGCAAATGTGTCTTCTCTAGGTGACCACTGCATGTCCAATACTTTCGTTTCACTCAAGGATGAGTCGTCAAGCGACAACAATTCACACGCCCGGTCCTCAGGGGGCACTGTTGCGAGTAGTTCGACTGTGTTACTTGCCCATTTCTTCAAATCCATTCTCGACCGTTTTGAGTGTTGAGCGTACAGTTTAGGTAATCTTTGTTCGTCTAGGGGTTGTCGGTCAGCTTGTGTTGATCTTATTTACTACAGTCGAAAAAAAGAAAGACAAACAGAGCGTCCCCGATTTCGATATGTTTGTGGTCTTTAACGCGTAGGGTTTGACGGTGAATTATTTTAGAGCGGACAGATTTCGTGAAAAACCGAGTAACCACAAAAGCGCTCGAGTGCAGGACAACCAGAAACGGGAGATAAAAACGAGAGCTCTGCTTCGAAGACCGCGTACAAAAAGCTGACATTACAAATGAGCTGTCGACAAAAAACAAATAAATAAAAAAAAGCGCTCAACCGAAACCGCAGTTTACGGGAACGAAAACGAAATGGATTTGCGATTGATGAACCGTTGATGTGTACGATTGACTCGTACACGCGTCGAACGTGTGCAACAACGCGGGTACAAACATAAACACATCGGTGCCGAAGAAAACGCGTGTTCTGTCGTTATTATTACGTTCCGGCGCGCGGGGGGCGATATCGATCAGTGGCGTATCCAGAATTTTTTTTAGGAGGGGGCACACACTGTCTAAAATTTTACCTTATACACTACCTACTACCAAAAAGATAAAAAAAAAAATTGACCAAATATTTAATGTTTTTAATGAAAATAATTTATTTATATTTTCAGTCAGTTATTAAGTTAATATATATATATGTACATAATAATAAATAGTAATTTAATAATAAAAACGGGTTAGTCCAAACAAAATTATTAGTGTACAAGAACAATTGTAGATTGTATAAAATCATTTTGACCAATCAACGAGTTGCGATTTTATCAAAACGTGATAACGGTAATAATGATTACTGGTAAAACCGCAAAATATTCATTGGTATAAGCGTATTATTGTAGTACGCGTTTATGCATACGAATAAATCTTTAAAATAAAATCTAGTAAATGCAGCCAACGAGGGGGGGGGGGGGGCATGGCCACTGTGCCCCCCCCCCCGGATACGCCACTGATATCGATCCACGTGGACGAGAAAAACTCTGGACGATTTCAATGCCTGCGCGACGGCCGCGTCGATAACCTCCTGGACGCCGTGCGATACGTGTTTGGCACCGGACGCCGGGCCGTGTAACGGGGCGAGAGCGCGTCCGCTCTCTCTCACTCTCTCTCTCTCTCTCTCTCTCTCTCTCGGCTGGGTTTAAAAATAATTTATAACGCTCTTGAAGGCACGTTGTCATCTCTCGGCGCTGTCGGTCGGTTGTTTTTTTGGCAGTCCCGCGCACCCGTTGCCGCCGTCGTCACGCGCGCGAACCCGGCGACGGTATTCCACGTATTTCACTCCGAGTACGGGTGCAGTTTCTCGTTTCGCTGCGCGCGCGTTATTTATTTTTTTCCCGTTAAAATCGCCTAGTTTTTTTTTTTTTTTTTT